TTCTTTAATTATCCTATCACCGGTTATGTTCGCTGCCTATCTCTTTTTTTATTTGATTGGTTTTAATCCCGACCTAATTCTTCTTAAACTAAAAGGTAATTTTATCCTACACGGGTTACGTGCTATTTTTCGGCTCTTTGGTTTGGAGATTCCCTCGTTCTTGTTAGCTTGCTTGTAAAGGGGCATGTATAGACTGTTGCAAGACTCTTCCGCCAATCCTACCGGTCCGCTGTGGTTCTTGCAGTTATGGCTTCCTGCTTACTTCCCCTCGGTCGGTTGTTTACAAATAGAATAGGGAAGAAGCATCGAATCGAATGCTGCTATTGAATGCACTGTTGTTGCTGAGTGAATAAGCGGTCTTGTCGTATCCGCTGTAAGCCTATATGCTGTAAGAAAGCTAACTGAATGTGTATCCACCCGCTCAAAGATGAAAATAGTAAAAGTAAAGATCTTATAGAAATGCCCAAAACATCTTTTTTTATTCTCCGATCGGCTCACCGAAGAGCAACCAAGTCGTAACCATATTACTTTCTTTCTAAATGGCAGCATCAGTGTCGGTTAAAGCGGTAAAACCGTCGATCAAATGGGGGGCTGACCTAACCTAGTGACAGTTTAACGTAATAAAATAATAAGAATAAGAAAGAAAAATTAAAAACTTCCTTCCGCGTATGATGATGCATATGTCGTGCCTGATTATGCGTATGCTTGTGCGGCAGTTTCGATTTCACTCGTTGAAGAATGTCTTTACTTTGCAAAACTTGTATCTGGCGGGTTAGGTTACTAAAATAAAAAAAAGTTATAAGGCCCGCCTTAGGGCTTTGAAAAAAGGCTTCGTACCATCAAGAATATATAGATAGATTGACTCGCGGTTAGGTTAGTAGTATGCGACAAGCAGACCAAACGCCTACCTTGGCCTCCCGGATGTAAGTCAGCCAGAAAAGAGACTTGCTATTTCCCCACCTAGTATCCCCAATAAAATAGCTTTCATAAAGTTAATATCAGATTGTTACAGAAGACCAGATCGAGGGATGAAATATACTCTACCGGACAATCAAAGGCTTAAACCCTGGTCGAAGCGAAGCGCATGCAATGAGGGAAGAGAGAGACCACCAATGCAAGTGGATCGACTTAAGCATCGATTTCGAAGGCGACAACATTAAGCATGAAAATAGAGCCTGCCACTTTTTCTCGTTAATAATGTTACAAGCAACAACGATAAAATAAGCTCTTGGATGCATGCCCCTATCTCCCACCCATCGTCCTGATCTTGGCTTGAAGTATCCAAGTAGCGCTAAAATGAAAAAGCGAACTATTGGAATTATTGTCTTGGGCTTAGCCCTCTTTTACACCAACTCAATAACAAGCGCCGAACAAGGATGAAAGAAATAACATTACTAATCAAAATTTATTCATTCAACCATTCATATTATATTACGACAATCCTACACGCCGTCTGTGCAAGCAGGATACCGCGGTCAATGCTGTAAACCTAGCATCATGCCATCAGAGCTCAATTCAAGCAGGAATCGGCCGGTATCGAGCAGTCGCAATTCCTTGGGCGCTTCGTGGCCCCGTTAGCTGTTAGCTGGCTAAGAAAGACTTACGTAAAGAGGCATTCCGAGCCTAGAATGTGGATGAATAAGAAACCTTTTAATATCATCGGATAGCAAAAATATTTTTTGTTCGCTTGGCTAATGTAAGGGAAATGGACGCCTGTTGGGATGGTTTGTAAATATGTCAGAAGATATCTTTAGCCTGCGGTCGGGAGCTTGAGAGTTATATGCCTTGACCAGTCAGACTGTGGATTATTGGCATCTATCAAATCTTGTCACCCCGCTTCTCTATAAAGGAAAAAAGGGAGGAATCCCGTCCGCCTACGTATTATTCTGACCAATATGGTGAGATCCTTTTTTGATAAAAAATCTCCAGACTAGCGTTGCTGACGAGATTGATTAGTGCCGCACTTTGACACCTCAACTGCTTCCCGGTACGGAAATAGCTGCCCCATAGAAGATAGGCTTTATTTCACGTAGCTGACTTTACCGTCAGCTCAATTTGAATAGTTTTTCGCTATGTTCGCAGGCAAGTGAGACGATCCATCAATGCCCTTATCTGCTTCGAAAGAACCGGTGTCATCCAAACATGGTGAAGAGGTGGCAACTGGATCAATAATAGCTGAAATTTCTACTGTACAGGGTTCGGCTTGCCCAACTATCCAAGCTCAAGGGAGATCTATTTTTGAATATAGAAAGCAGACTCAAGGTGCGAAGTAGCTTTCATCATGAGGAGTCGTAGGGCGAAAAGAGTAGAAAGATATGAATTCCTACAAAGAGGAAGGGGTCGAATGCTATAGGTAATGCATATGATATGGAGGGAGAAAGCCTTTAGCTTTTATTCAGTTTTTATGTGTCGGATAAATTTCATTTCTACTTGAAGGCACCTCTATTATAATAACCGGCTGTCTAGCAACATATTTTCTGGGTAAGTTACTCTCCTATTCCGGAGAAAGAGCCCCACCCCAATTCGGATTCGAACCGATGTTGCCTATAGGGCTTCAAGAGCGTGACTCTTCTTTATTTATATAAACCATTTTTCAGTCTAGTTTGCCACAAGGCATGCAAGCGAGGCCTATGTGGAAGAAAGAAGTCAAGTTGGACAAAAGAGAGAAAGCACTCGCGACACACTGACTATATCGACAAATCAAAGTAGTGGTCATGAATATACACCGGCGCTGCCTAAGCGGTCTTGGGAAATGGTTGCTTGTCAATCAACATCTGTTTTCCCTTATCGGGAAACATCAATCTTGTCCTGTATTGCGCGGCGGAAGGCTACGCAGTCAGTTGTGGCGTGACTATTACTGGCATGAAACTAGCATATGGGTTTCTGTCCCTTTAGTGCGTCTAACTGGACTTGATGGGGGACCCAACTAACCCGACTTTTTCCAAGAAGTCATAGATCTCATCGGCCTTTGAGACATCGTACGTGAAGTCACGTGGCTGATTGCCAAATTTGCCTCGGTTTTCTCGAAACTGGCTACTCCTTATGATATGCCACCTCAACCCCCAATCTAAGAGCATCTGAGAACATCTCCGACATTATCGAGGGAAACTCAGATAACCGGAATGATTAGCCTTCATGCCTATCCCCATCGATCAGAACTGGCAACAAATCTTTCAGCGGATGTAGCAGCGGATATTGATCCGCTGTGTTCAACTCCTGCTATTGGGTTAACTCCAAACCAACATTCGGGAAGGGAAGCCAAACTACTTCTTGAACTAAACAAGTTCTTCCTTTTCATTGATTGACTAATGCCCCTCGGTTGAAAGATAATCTTTTACCGCTGGATCAACTGCAGAAGAATTCTTCCTATTATAGATCACTGCCATCTCACGAATTGGATTTGAACCAATATCTTCGGGCGACTTTCCTTTTAGTTGATCGTGAGTGGGTCTGTCGTCCTCCTCATTATAGTCCTCCTAAAATCAATAGCATTTCGTCGGAAAACATCCTATCTTTTTACCTGAGTAGTCCTATGCATAGTCAGTACTATAGCCCCAATCATGGCAACTAATAAAATTAGACTAGAAACCAAAAACCAGACGAAATAGTAGGTATAAAGTAAATTTCCCAATGTTTCCAAATTAGTCCAACTGGAAAGGCATAAACCGTATATCTCAGAGAGGTCGTATTTCTTTGGGTTGGTAGTAATGGAATGGTTTCATTATCTAAAATGAAGAACATTTCCCACCAAAGGATCAGTCCAATAATACCACTCACTGGTAAATAGCGCAATACTTCTTCGTGAATCTCCGCTATTTGAATATGGAACATCATAACAACGAATAGGAATGAAACGACTATAGCTCCTATATGAACTACTGGTAAGATCATAGCGGAGAAGTCGAGACCTAACAAAATAAGTAAACCTGAAGTGTCGTGAAAGACTGGGATGGGAAACAAAACGGAATGTACCGGATTTTTAGCACGTGCAACCATGAAACCAGAGACCAAAGCGGGGCTCAACAAAAAAGAAAGTATCATGGTACCCTTAGTCCAAAAAGCCTTCCCTCCAGACAGAAAGAGAGTCTTTCCTGCACAGAGTAGTGAATAACTATAGAGAGTTGTGCTTGGTTGTTGACCAAAGAAAAAGCATGGAAAAATAAAGATTCACTAACGAATAAGATCTCGACGCCTGGGAGTTGAACCTGGAATCAAGCTTTGACGGAGCGGCGCACGCAACCTCAGTCATCTCGTCATATGTAATTAGAGATCGTTGCCCATCACTCAGCGGTTTAGGAGTAGGAATCGTCTTTCGCTACCATGAGATAGAAGCGCTACAATGAAAGTGGTTCACATCACCTACGTAATTTCAACAATTGCTTTTGACTAGTTAAGTTAAGGCTAATTTACCTACCTCTCCTTAACAATCGAGCATCGCTAAAGCCCTCTCTCTACCGGTCTACTATCTTCGTTCCTAACTAAACGACGGGTCGACTTGCATGTGTTAAGCATATAGCTGAAGTAGCATGATTGGAGGCTCTTAAAGCTTAGGCTATTTACTATAAGCTTTAACCTCCTCTTACTTAGATAGAGGCGAGAGTCGCGTATAAAGTCTTTCTTATTCAATTGATAGAAGATCACTCCCCAAAAAAAGCTGCCTCCTTTATATACGATACCACCAGACGCGCCCCTCAGTTAAAATTTTGCTTCACAAACTCACCAAACTCTTTCTTTATGAGTATGAGTCAACCAAGCCTCTTCAAAGAACAAAGGTCTCTGGAATGCCGGCTGAGGTCACTTTGCAGGTCAAAAAGAAGAGGGTGGTGATCGGATTTGACTGGAGGTAGATTCCGGACAGCAGCTTCCGGGAAAAATGACATTCCATCTTAAACAGAGCTCTATCTAAGCTCTAATACACACGACTGAACCCTGGAGACTTTTGCCTCGCCATGTAAACCGAGAGCCTAGGTACCCAAGATCAATGATTTTGCTTTCAATCTTTAAACTGCCCACATCTGAAGAACTTGCTTCCAGAGCCAGGCTTTCAGACTCTCCATAGGTTTCGCATAGAGAGCAATCAATAAGCACTCGCTCTTCTTCTCCTGAACTACCTTCATATGAATGAACTGAGAGTCATCCTGAAGGACATCCACTAATATATCTTTGCTCTTCCACAGGACAAAAATCCCACAGGTTCCAACCGATGCGATGACGGTTTTAACCACTTTCTCGGCCTTCTCACCACTGACCCTAGTTTCAAAAAGAAAAGCACAACTCTCTCAGGTGAATTAAGTCCATTGTTACACCATGAAACCTCAACGGCGATTCCAAACTCGAATCTTCCACACAATAAGGAAAATACTATACCACCCATGTTGCAGTGGGGCTACCCATCATATGACGAGCAATCCGGCTGCATTTATCTCATCTCTCAAAAAATTATATTGGTAGGACACCTTTGTGATGACCGCCAAAGCTATGCCATCTTTATTCCAACTTCCTTTGTGTTGTCAAGGATCTACACACGCATAATGTTATAGCTATAGGGTGCCGCCCATAGCCAACCCCTACATGCTTTAGACCCTAATTTTCCTCTTATTTATTTGTGGCTTCTTCATAACAAAGAGCTTCCTTATGGCAACTAGGGGCTTTATAGGGGTCCTCTTGTTGTTTAAAAGGTAGGTTTTGTCAGAGATTAAATGGAAAGGAAGGGAAGAGGTAACTCACCAACCAACAGGAGGAGGATATGAAATAGAGAACCAACAACCGTTCTACTCGAGCGGAACTTCTAACTGAAGCTTCTCACATTTTTCAGAAGGGTCTGGGCTACGGGGTCCTTTTCCAACCCCTCTCTTATGCGTTCGGGGATGGCCCATTTGAGTTGGCTCATGTCTGCTATCTCTTCTAACTTGTTGGATGCCAACTCGGCCTTTCGATTTAGTGCGTCGGCAACTTGATTGGTCCTCCCGGGCTTGTACTCGAGGACCATGTCGAACCCCACCAGAAAGTCTTGCCACCGTGCCCGCTTGGGGTTGGGCTCTCTTCTGAGTAAGGAAAGAGCTCGTAGCCACGTTATCGGTCTTGATCACGAACCTTGAGCCCAGCGAAGAAAACTACACTGCGCTCCAGCAATTCAATGATCTCTATGACTTGGCTATCAAGGTCACTCGCCACGAGCGCTTGCTGCGAAAAGTCGGACTTGATGCAATGGTGGCGGAGATCAAATTCACTAAGCAAGTTGTTTGCCTTGCTCTACGCAAAGCCCCACCCAATCAGACTGCCATGCTAAACAAGCCTGATATGGAGCGGACTGCAGGCAAATTTGGCAATCGGCCACGTGACTTCACATACAATGTCTCAAAGGCCGATGAGATCTATGATTGCTTGGAAAAAGTCGGGTTAGTTGGGTCCCCCATCAAGTCCAGTTAGACGCACTAAAGGGACAGAAACCCATATGCTAGTTTCATGCCAGTAATAGTCACGCCACAGCTGACTGCGTAGCCTTCCGCCGCGCAATACAGGACAAGATTGATGTTTCCCGATAAGGGAAAACAGATGTTGATTGACAAGCAACCATTTCCCAAGACCGCGTAGGCAGTGCCGGTGTATATTCATGACCACTACTTTGATTAGTTGATATAGTCAGTGTGCCGCGAGTGCTTTCTCTCTTTTGTCCAACTTGACTTCTTTCTTCCACATAGACCTCGCTTGCATGCCTTGTGGCAAACTAGACTGAAAAATGGTTTATATAAATAAAGAAGAGTCACGCTCTTGAAGCCCTATAGGCAACATCGGTTCGAATCCGAATTGGGGTGGGGCTCTTTCTCCGGAATAGGAGAGTAACTTACCCAGAAAATATGTTGCTACGCAGGCGGTTATTATAATAGAGGTGCCTTCAAGTAGAAATGAAATTTAGCCGACACATAAAAACTGAACAAAAGCTAAAGGCTTTCTCCCTCCATATCATATGCATTACCTATAGCATTCGACCCCCTCCTCTTTGTAGGAATTCATATCTTTCTACTCCTTTCGCCCTACGACTCCTCATGATGAAAGCTACTTCGCACCTTGAGTCTGCTTTCTATATTCAAAAATAGATCTCCCTTGAGCTTGGACAGTTGGGCAAGCCGAACCCTGTATAGTAGAAGTTTCAGCTATTATTGATCCAGTTGCCACCTCTTCACCATGTTTGGATGACACCGGTTCTTTCGAAGCAGATAAGGGCATTGATGGATCGTCTCACTTGCCTGCGAACATAGCAAAAAACTATTCAAATTGAGCTGATGGTAAAGTCAGCTACGTGAAATAAAGCCTATCTTCTATGGGGTAGCTATTTCCGTACCGGGAAGCAGTTAAGGTGTCAAAGTGCGGCACTAATCAATCTCGTCAGCAACACTAGTCTGGAGATTTTTTATCAAAAAAGGATCTGACCATATTGGTCAGAATAATACGTAGGCGGATGGGATTCCTCCCTTTTTTCCTTTATAGAGAAGCGGGGTGACAAGATTTGATAGATGCCAATAATCCACAGTCTGACTGGTCAAGGCATATAACTCTCAAGCTCCCGACCGCAGGCCAAAGAGATCTTCTGACATATTTAGAAGCCATCTCAACAGGCGTCCATTTCCCTTATATTAGCCAAGGGAACAAAAAATATTTCTGATATCCGATGATATTAAAAGGTTTCTTATTCATCCACATTCCAGGCTCGGAATGCCTCTTTACGTAAGTCTTTCTTAGCCAGCTAACAGCTAACGGGGACACGAAGCGCCCAAGGAATTGCGACTGCTCGATACCAGCCGATTCCTGCTTGAATTGAGCTCTGATGGCATGATGCTAGGTTTATAGCATTGACCGCGGTATCCTGCTTGCACGGACGACGTGTAGGATTGTCGTAACGTAATATGAATGGTTGAATGAATAAATTTTGATTAGTAATGTTATTTCTTTCATCCTTGTTCGGCGCTTGTTATTGAGTTGGTGTAAAAGAGGGCTAAGCCCAAGACAATAATTCCAATAGTTCGCTTTTTCGTTTTAGCGCTACTTGGATACTTCAAGCCAAGATCAGGACGATGGGTGGGAGATAGGGGCATGCATCCAAGAGCTTATTTTCTCGTTGTTGCTTGTAACATTATTAACGAGAAAAAGTGGCAGGCTCTATTTTCATGCTTAATGTTGTCGCCTTCGAAATCGATGCTTAAGTCGATCCACTTGCATTGGTGGTCTCTCTCTTCCCTCATCGCATGCGCTTCGCTTCGACCAGGGTTTAAGCCTTTGATTGTCCGGTAGAGTATATTTCATCCCTCGATCTGGTCTTCTGTAACAATCTGATATTAACTTTATGAAAGCTATTTTATTGGGGATACTAGGTGGGGAAATAGCAAGTCTCTTTTCTGGCTGACTTACATCCAGGGGGCCAAGGGAGGCGTTTGGTCTGCTTGTCGCATACTACTAACCTAACCGCGAGTCAATCTATCTATATATTCTTGATGGTACGAAGCCTTTTTTTAAAGCCCTAAGGCGGGCCTTATAACTTTTTTTTAGTTTAGTAACCTAACCCGCCAGATACAAGTTTTGCAAAGTAAAGACATTCTTCAACGAGTGAAATCGAAACTGCCGCACAAGCATACGTATAATCAGGCACGACATATGCATCATCAGACGCGGAAGGAAGTTTTTAATTTTTCTTTCTTATTCTTATTATTTTATTACGTTAAACTGTCACTAAGTTTGGTCAGCCCCCCATTTGATCGACGGTTTTACCGCTTTAACCGACACTGATGCTGCCATTTAGAAAGAAAGTAATATGGTTACGACTTGGTTGCTCTTCGGTGAGCCGATCGGAGAATAAAAAAAGATGTTTTGGGCATTTCTATAAGATCTTTACTTTTACTATTTTCATCTTTGAGCGGGTGGATACACATTCAGTTAGCTTTCTTACAGCATATAGGCTTACAGCGGATACGACAAGACCGCTTATTCACTCAGCAACAACAGCGCATTCAATAGCAGCATTCGATTCGATGCTTCTTTCCTATTCTATTTGTAAACAACCGACCGAGGGGAAGTAAGCAGGAAGCCATAACTTGCAACAGTCTGTACAGGCCCCTTTACAAGCAAGCTAACAAGAACGAGGGAATCTCCAAACCAAAGAGCCGAAAAATAGCACGTAACCCGTGGAGGATAAAATTACCTTTTAGTTTAAGAAGAATTAGGTCGGGATAAAAACCAATCAAATAAAAAAAGAGATAGGCAGCAAACATAACCGGTGACAGGATAATCAAAGAAATTATTATATTAAGTGGCGAAATGAAGATTTAAGAAAGAAAGACATTCCATGACCTCTAAAATTTCATGACACATTTTCTATTGATGGAGAAAGATATTATTACCTAAGTGATTGTCTGTTCCTTTATGCGGAAACTTACGGAGAACACATCTCACTGAAACCGAACCCAATCCTCTCATCTGAACTCTGACACCAATCTTCACGAGACGGCTCTTGACCAATTCCTTTTGTATCGTACCTGGTCGAGCTATACCTTGTACTTCCCGCCCTACTTTCAATCTATTTCTTATAAACCTGATCCACATCCAACAGCAGCAGTCTCTGTTGGTCCTCTTTTCCGCGTTAGATCAGAGCAAGACCTGTTAGAATCATCCCCAACATTTCCTTATTTAGTCAGGCCCAGGGTTAACCACAGGAGCAACCTTGGTTTTTATTGACTCTCTAGCCCTACCTGAAACATTTACATTTCAAGTTCAATCTGAACCCTACTAAACGATTCCTCCCGGAATTAAAAATACGCTTTATCGTTCCACTTCTTTCTGAATTCAGACAAGATTTCACTCGAGTTCAAGCTTTCGTCACTTAGTCAGAAGGGATCACCTCGGCATGTCAAAGAACCGACGCTACCAGACCTTGGTCGTCTCCGCTGGGCGGGGCTAACCGCAAACCTACTTCCTCTTGGATCCTTTCCCACTGCCCTTTTCCTTTCAATTTCAACTCCAGTGGCCTGGTTCTTTTCTATGTAATTCTTTTAGTCGTTTTGTGTCTACCGCCTCATCCTCAGCCTCTTCCTACCTAAATAAGCCCCCCCTAGTCTAAAATGAAAGATTCATTCTTTAGCCAGATCAACATCCTTCTACCTATTACCTATCTCCAGATCAAGATCCTAACATGATTAAAGCCATAACTCTACTATTGAAGTACTTAGTAATCCTACTTCCAATTCACTATCTACTTCCTTCGTCAGCCCTCCTCCATAGCTACCTTTGAAGGGAAAGCTGGCTAGACCAAGCCTAGTAATTAATTTAATAAGAGGGAAAAAGGCCACTCAGGTCTATATCTAGAAAGAAGGCTGGATTGGAAGATTGAGAGACCCAGGACTGTGCAG